GGGGGGGGGGGTTGGAACCGGGGGCAAGGACATTGAGTGTGCAGGAGACGAGAGAGAGAAGGAGAAGGGGAGAGGAAGGGAAGGGGAGGGAAGGGAGACGGGAGCTGAGGGGAGGGAAGGGGGGAATGACTCATGTGTCTGCTGGTCTGGGTGGGAGGTTGTAGGACCTGGAGAACCTCACGGCGTCGTACTCGGGCCTGTCGGTGGCTGCCGCAAAGTTCCGGACCTCGCGGGCCTCGCTCGAGGCCATCAACGACGATAACCAGGGTATGTAGTTTGTAGCGGGCGGAAAGGAGGAGACTAGAGGTGGTGATGGGTTGGTGGCGTTGCGGGAAGGGACGGCGAGAAGGGATCGGTCGTGGCGTTGCCTTGTTGAGCTGCACAAGGCGAGGGATGAGGTGATGGCAGACGGACAGATGGTGGAGATGAGAGAAAGAAGTGGAAGGCGTGCGGAGGAGATGGGAGCACTCACTATTGATTGTCGATTACTGGCGGGGCGGGGATGATAGGCAAGGATGTGCTGCTGCCGCTGACGACGTCGATGTATGTGCCGGGCAAGCTCGCAGACGTGTCCAAGGTCATGGTGGACGTTGGCACGGGATACTACGTGGAAAAGTCGATCCCGGATGCGCAGGCCTTCTTTGACCGCAAGCTCGAGTTCCTCAAGTCCCAATCCGAGGCTGTGGAGAAGCAGATCGCCACCAAGAACCAGCAGTACCGCGTCCTCCGCCAGATTGCCGGCGAGGCTCAGGCAAAGGCCGAGGCTGAGGCCCGTGCCACTGCTGGTGCCTCCTCCTCCTCTTAAACACCCCCCCCCCCCCCCCCCCCAACCCACTCCATCCCTCCTCCTTCTCGGCCAGCCATACTCCAACTCGGCTCGTTCCCGCCTGAACCACCACCGAAGGCCAACGCCCAGCCGCAACCCCCACACATCCCCCAAACCGGCACAACCCACCGCTCTCTCTCCTCCCCTCCCCCTTCCTTCCCACACACACACATACACACAAGCAAACGCGTGCACGTGGCTTTGGACGGCCACTGAGCGATCACATGGCTGCGGCTGGCGGCGCTGGACTTGTTGCGGGTGACTACGAGAACGACCACAGTGGGGGCGGGCATGGGGACGATTACGGGAATGGAGCTGGTGACATGGACGATGTAGGGTTAGGCATGGACGATGCTGAGTATGAGGATGATTATGAGTTCTCGTCAGTCTCATCGCTGTCGGATGCGTCGCAGATGGAGCTGGAGGATATGGCCGAGCTCGTCATCCTCACCTGTGTCGCAGGCGATGCCCGTCTGCTGGCAAAGGTCCTGGTGACCGAGAAAGGTGGTCAGCTCGATCTGGATGGCGTGACGTCGGCCGACGGTGACACGCCTATGGTGCTGGCGTGTCATGGCGGGCACGTTGATGTGGTTGCTGTCTTGCTCGCGGCAGGCGCCAGTCCGGACGCAGAGGCTCCGTCCGAGGAGATCCCCATCCTGGTTGCCATCGAGGAGAGTCATCTAGACGTTGTCGAGCTGCTCTTGGACTCAGGCGCGCTACACGTCAACACCGGCGGTGCATACGATGCGCTCGACTGCGTCATCACCGCTCTCGACGCCGGCGATCCAACCGTGGTTGGCGCGCTGGCCGAGGCCGGCGCCCAGCTCGGCGGTCACTTTCTGGCCGCCATCGAGATGGGCGACGATGAGGTTGTCGAATTGCTACTGGCGGTCGACCAGTTTGCGCCGGCCCGCATCGAGGATCCACAGGGCCGCGGACCCATCGAGTTGGCGGTCGCGGCAGGCAACGCGTCGACCCTGCTGCTCCTTGCCAACTCGCAACTCTTCCCGTCGTGCATCATCTCGCTCGACACTTCGGGCTTGATCAACCCGCAGCGTATCATCAGCGCCATTGAGCACCCAGAGTTGGCTTCGCTCTTTGAGCACCAGTACAGTGAGGCAGAGCAGACGCTCGACATTGCCTACCACAACCCGGCTATTCCTTTCCCACTTCCGCTCTCGTCCTCGCACTCTTCAATGCTGTCGCAGCCGTCCTCGCCGCGCGGGCGCAAAGTCCAGTTTGCCGACGGCCACTCGATTATGAACGATGTCCTCGACGCCGAGTCGAGCGACATGCTCTCCGACGACGACAACCAGAAGATCTTCACCTCGCTGCCCGAAATTGCGTCTGACGCCTTTGGCCTCCCGCCGCCCATGCCCGACACCGTGGCCAAGGCCGAGGAGCTAGCGGCGACGTCGGCCAAAGCCGAGGCCGACGCGCGTCGCCGAGCCAAGGCCAAGCAAGCGCCCCGCTGCCGCACGCGCCGAGGCCAAGCTC